TGGACAACAAGAGTAAAACTCCGTCTCAAAAAAACAAAACAAAACCAAAAAAACAATAAAGATTTGGGAAGAAAGACCTGAAAAGTGCTGGAGGGACCCCAGAGCTGACCCCAAGCCAACCTGCCTCCCTGAATCTCCACCTTACCCTACCCCAGGGGCATCACTATTAATATTCCACCAGAGTCCATTAGCCAGTGTTTTAGGTATTATTGCTCTCCTTTTACTGTAGAATTTTCAGATCTTTGGGGCTTTTTTTTTAATTTGAAGGGTTCTGCCTTAAATATTCTATGTAAACCACCATAGCACAAAATAATTTGATCCTTTCGTTTTTACTAGTGAAATTTTGTTTATTTCAACTAGGCCTAAGAAGTACATATTTTCTCAGGAGAAGGTATCGCCAGTTTGTGGCACAGATTATGCCTCATTCCTGACCTTATGCTAGTTCCAGTAAATCCACTACTCCTTAGCAGTGGTCTATCTCAGATATATATCTATGTACTGTCTAGAGAATTCCATATTTTCCAACCATATTCACAATCAAAACTGCACTGCAAGGCCAGGTGCAGCGACTCACGCCTGTGATCCCAGCACTTTGGGAGGCTGAGGTGGGTGGATCACCCGAGGTCATGAGTTCCAGACCAGCCTGGCCAACATGGTGAAATCCCATCTCTACTAAAAACACAAAAAATTAGCTGGGCGTGGTGGCAGATGCCTGTAATCCCAGCTACTTGGGAGGCTGAGGCAGGAGAATTGCTTGAACCAGGAAGTGGAGGTTGCAGCAAGCTGAGATCACGCCATTGCACTCCAGCCTGGGCAACAAGAGCGAGATTCTGTCTCAAAAAAAAAAAAAAAAAAAAAAAAAGAAAAGAAAAGAAAGAAAGAAAGAAAAAACTACACTTGCACTACAGTCACCCAGACCAACCATTTGCTAATTCAAGTCAGACATCAAGTCAAATTCTCTACATGACTGCAGCCTGGAGAAGCTTCAGTTCTGTCCTGCTTTCTGCCTTAGCACTGTTATTTCTTCTTGACTAGCCTAGAAGTCTTGTAAAAAGGCAAATTTTCAACCAACTCTTCCTTTTGCTAGAGTTTCTTCAAAGTCTACTCTAATTTGGAAATATTACTGCTTATCTCAGAAAAAGTAAACACTTTTTAAGCCCATAGCAAATATGCTCATTTGCTACCAATTCATCTACTACAACATCATTAATTTGGATCTCACTAAATTAGAGCATGATATTCTAGACAGCAACTGTCTTGAATTTTATGCTTATCCCATCATTGGCGGAAAGAAAAAAAAGAAAGCATATTCAAATCGACAGTATAAACAAAATTATAAGAGAATTATTTATAATCTAGTCTTTATTACAGAGTTGTTTGGGACATTTTAGAAAAATCTGCTAAAATACTAAACTTCTATATCATTTTTAGTATTTAAAGTAGCTTCTCTAAAGCATGTGAAATGAGCATAGTAATGACCTGAGGGCCCTGTTTCCACACAGAGCTTTCAAGAGAGCCAGGGTCAACTTAAAGAGGTACCCCCAGCAACTCTGCTGTAGGCTACTAAAAGTTTCAAATCGGCCAGGCAAGGTGGCTCATGCCTGTAATCCCAGCACTTTGGGAGGCCGAGGTGGGTAGATTACCTGACATCAGGAGTTTGAGGCCAGCCTGACCAACATGGTGAAACCCCATTTCAACTAAAAATACAAAAATATTAGCCAGGCATGGTGGCAGGCACCTGTAATCCCAGCTACTCGGGAAGCTGACACAGGAGAATCGCTTGAACCCAGGAGGTGGAGGTTGTGGTGGCCGGCAGGCACCTGTCACCATGCCCACTGCATTCCAGCCTGGGCGACAGAGCAAAATTCCGCCTGAATTAAAAAAAAAAAAAAGAAAGAAAGAAATGATAAAATCTTCTAAGAAGCCAGAGGGGAAAAGCACCTTACCTATACCTACAGAGGAGCAAAGAAAAGAATCACATCAGACCTCCCTTTAGAGCCCACGAAAACAAACAAGAAGAGAGTATAATAAAATATTTAAAGTGTTATATTTAAAAAAAACAAAAAACCACCAACCTAGAATTCTGTATTCAGCCAAATTATCCTTCAAATGTGAGGGGGAAGTGAAGACTTTCTCAGAGAAACATTGAGATATTTTCTTGCCTATATACTTGCCTTGAAAGAAATGTTAAGTGCTTCAGAAAGAAGGAGAATTACAGAGGTCAAAGATTCGGGTTTACTTTGAGAAAGGAAGAGGATTAGAGAAGGAATAAATGAAGATAAAATAAAATATTTTATCTTTATTCTTAATTCATCTAATAGGTAACAGTTTGTTCAAAATAATAATAGCAGTGATTCAATTTTAGCAGTATTCAGTGGTTATAGTTTATGGATAACTGAAATGAATGACAGCAATGTTATAGGGGCGTGAGAGAGGAATTGAAAATACTCTGTTATAAGGTACTTGTATTACCTGTCAAGTGGTAGTGTTATTTGAAAGTGGACTTAGATTAGTTGAAAATGTATAGTGCAAACTCTATTGCAATTTCTCAAAAGAAAGAAGTAGAATTGATATGCTAAGAGAGGAGAGAAATTAGAATCACATAAAAAGTTCAACTGGCAAGGCATGGTCGCTCATGTCTATAATCCCAGCACTTTGGGAGGTTAAGGTGGGCAGATTGCTTGACCCCAGCAGTTCAAGACCAGCCTGGCCAACATGATGAACCCCTCTTTCTACCAAAAAGGTACAAAAAATACCCAAGGGTGGTGGTGCACATCTGTAGTCCCAGCTACTCAGAAGACTGAAGTAGGAAGATCACTTGTACCCAGGAGGTCAAGGCTGCAGTGAGCCAAGATCATGCCACTGCACTCCAGCCTGGACAACAAAGCAAAATCCTGTTTCAAAAAACAAACAAAACAAAACAAAACAAAAAGTTCAGCTAACACCAGAGAAGGCATTTAAAAAATGTAAGACAAACAACAACAACAACAACAACAACAAAACAACAAAGAACAAAGACAATGAATAGAAACCAGTAACAAACATGGTAGACATTAATCCAACTATATCAATAGTCACCTTAAACATCAATGTTCTAATTATTATAAAGAACACCAATTACAAGATAGACACTGTCAGAATGGATTAAAAAAACCCAACACCCAACTACTGTCATCTACCAGAAACCTCCTTTAAATATAAAGATACAGATTAAAAGTAAGGGGACGTTAGCCAGGCATGGTGATGCACACCTGTAGTCCCAGCTACTTGGGAAGCTGACATGGAAGGATGGCTTGAGCCCACAAAGAGGAAGCTGCAATGAGCCAGGATCGTTCCACTGCACTACAGCCTGGATGACACAGTGAGACTCTGTCTCAAAAAAAATAAAAATAAAAAAAGAGTATAGTCAATTTTTACATGCATACATATATGTTATTTATTTATTTAGAGACAGAGTCTTGTTCTGTCTCCCAGGCTAGAGTGCAGTGGCTGCCTCCCAGGTTCAAGAGATTCTCCTGCCTCAGCCTCCTGAGTAGCTGGATTACAGGCATGCACCATCACGCCTGGCTAATTTTTTTTTTTGTATTTTCAGTAGAGATGGGGTTTCACTATGTTAGCCAGGCTGGTCTCGAACTCCTGACCTCAAATGATCTGCCTGCCTCAGCCTCCCAAAGTGCTAGGATTACAGGCTTGAGCCACCACATCCAGTCCACATATGCTTTTCACATATTTTAACAATAATATTAAATCATTTTGGTATTTACATGCTAAGCACTGTTCTAGGCACTGTATGTGTATTAATTCCTTTAATCCTTATAATAAACCTGTAAGTGAGGTGGCAATATCATCTTATTTTAGATAGGAAAACTATGGCATAGATAAAGCATTTGGCTGGAGTCATGTGATTAGTAAGCCCAGAGCTAAAATTTAGACAGACCCCATCCAGTCAGGCCCCAGTGTCTGTGTTCTTAGCCTTTCTGTATTAGAACTGGATATAAAGATAACTGTAGAAGGAGCTTAGCATAGTGTCTCATCCACAATTTAAAGTGCTCAATATTATCATTTTTTACCATTATTACTATGCTTCATTGAATCTGAAGTGCCATCAATTGTAGATACATCATTATTTTATGTGCCACTAACAAGGAAAGAAAACACTGCCAATCATAATAACTGAAGACTACTGGGTGTTCCAAGATGCATTCCAATTTCAAAGATGTGAAGAAATTGCACTTTGTAGAGTGAATGAAATTCAGTATTGTTATATGTAATTTTCATTTAGTGTACAACTGCTTTGAATATCATCCGTGTCCCAAGGACCCCCAAATTTACATTTTCAATCCTGACCACTCCTTTAAACGTTAGACCTGCATATCCAACTGCTTAGTTGACATCTCCACAAGGATGCTAACAGACATCTCAAAAATTAAATGCCTAAAATTGAGTTCTCAACAATCTTTACAATATCAGTATATGGCATTTTTATTCTTCCAAATATTTAGTCCAAAAGCCTTCGAGTCAACAAATTCTGATGTCTCTACCTTCAATATAAACCCAAAATTCTACCACTTCTCACTACTCTCATTGCCAATACACTATTCCAAAGCACCCATGGCAGAGATTGCTAGCCCCTCACCTGATCCATGCTTTCTTCTTCATCCTGGGCACACATTTCCCAACCTCCCCTTGCAGTTAGGTATAGCCATATGATGAAATTGCTTTATAAGCAATGAAATATGAGAGCAAATTTCTTGTGCCACTTTTAGCCTGCTCCTATAAAACTCCCAAACATTGTATTCCTACGTGCTTTTCTCCTCTACTAGGTTGTTGGAATAGGGATGACTGCATGCAACCCCCAAGGATGACCTTGGTGACCATGTGCTGAAGGTAGCAAAGCCCCTGTCACTCTGGGTTTCTGAATGATTACTCAGGCGTCCCCAAACTTTTTACACGGGGGGCCAGTTCACTGTCCCTCAGACCATTGGAGGGCCGCCACATACTGTGCTCCTCTCACTGACCACCAATAAAAGAGGTGCCCCTTCCTGAAGTGCGGCAGGGGGCCGGATAAATGGCCTCGGGGGCTGCATGCAGCCCGCGGACCATGGTTTGGGGATGCCTGGATTACATGGAGGAAGGCTGCCCCATTGACCTGTTCACCCACATAATACTTGAAGATGAGCAATACCAAAACATGTTTATTGTGTTTGAGCCAGTGATCAGTGACAAAACTGATACTGGAAGATAAAACATGGAGAACCATGTTAAAAAGCAGCAAAATTTTGATTAAAATGTCACCTGTGATAAATTGGAAGTCAGACCAAGTATCTCCTGAGCCTATAACTCTAGGGAAATAAAGATAGAAAGCAATTTTTGGTGTGTATTGATGGTTACTTGTGTTTAGCAAGGTATTACACAAAAGAGAAAAGCTGACTCGAACTGGCTGGTTCAAGAGCAGAAATGAAAGAAAGAGTTAAAATAATGCTGCTCACCAACAACCATCTGATCTTCAACAGAGTTGACAAAAACAAGTAATGGGCTGGCTGGGAGCAGTGGTTCACGCCTGTAATCCCAGCACTTTGGGAGGCCAAGTGGGGCTGGCAGATCACATGGAGAAACCTGGTCTCTAATTTAAAAAAAAAAAAGTAATGGGGAAAGGGCTCCCTATTCAATGAATGGTGCTAGGATAACTGGCTACCCATATGCAGAAGACTGAAACTGGACTCCTTCCTTACACCATACACAAAAATCAGCTCAAGCTGGATTAAAGGCTTAAATGTAAAACCTAAGACTATAAAAATCCTACAAGAAAATCTAGGAAATACCATTCTGGACAAAGGAGCTCACAAAGATTTCATAACAAAGATGCCAAAAGCAATTGCAACAAAAACAAAAAATGACAAATAGGACCTAATTAAAGAGCTTCTGCACAGGAAAAGAAGCTATCAACCGAGTAAACAGACAACCTATAGAATGGGAGAAAATATTTACAACCTATTAATCTGACAAAGGTCTCATATCTAGAATCTATAAGGAACTTAAATCAACTAGAAACAAACAAACAACCCCATTTAAAAATGGGCAAAGGACAAGAACAGATGCTCTTCAAAACAAGACATAGACATATGCACAGGGAAGCAGGGGGAGGGAGAGCATCAGGATAAATAGCTAGAGCATGTGGGACTTTAATACCTACGTGACGGGTTGAAAGGTACAGCAAATCACCATGAAACATGTTAATCTATGTAACAAACATGCGGGTGCTGTACATGTATCCCAGGACTTTGAGAAATGCAAATCAAAACCACAATGACCTCAAAGTCCCCAAAGCCCCCCTGCCCTTAAGTCAAATTAAAAAAAAAATGAGATGCCATCTCACACCACTCAGAATTGCTATTATTAAAAAGGCAAAAAACAATAGATGCTGGAAAGGTTGTAGAGAAAAAGGAATGCTTATACACGACTGGTGAAAATGAAGATTAGTTCAGCCACTGTGGAAAGCAGTATGGCAATTTCTCAAGGAGCTCAAAACAGACTTACCATTTGACCCAGCAATCCAATTATTGGCATATACCCCAAAAATACAAATCATTCCACCATAAAGACCCAAGCATGTGTATGTTGACTACAGTACTATTCACAATAGCAAATACATGGAATTAACCTTAATGACCATGTATGGTAGAACAGATTAAGAAAATGTGGTACATATACACCATAGAAAACCATGCGACATTAAAAACGAACGAGATCATGTCCTTTGCAGTAACATGGATGAAGCTGGAGGCCATTATCCTAAGTGAACTAACACAGGAACAGAAAAGCAAATACCACGTGTTCTCACTTATAAGTGGGAGCTAACCACTGAGTACACATGGACATAAAGAAGGGAACAATAGACACCAGGCCCTGCTTGAGGGTGGACAGAGAAAGGAGGGGAGGAATCAAAAAACTATCGGCCAAAATTGTGCCATTGCACTCTAGCCTGGGCAACAAGAGCAAAACTTCATCTCAAAGAAAACAGGAAGGAAAAAAAAAAAACAAACCCTACCTGTTGGTTATTACCTGGGTAGTAAATAATCTGTACACCAAACCCCCGTGACATACGATGTACCTATGTAACAAACCTGTACATGTACCCCTGAACCTAAAAGTTAAAAAGAAAGAGTTGGGAAATTTGGGGATACAGCATTAGAAAAGCTCACTGCTTCTATATCCCAAATAGGAAGAGGAGACTGAAAAAGACTTTGTGCCACAAAGTGTACGGGAAAGGCTTCATCATGATATGCTGGTGACGCTGCACATCTTCATGTAGGCCACACAGCAAGGCTTGGCTGCAGTCTGACCTGAGTCTTGGCAGAATGCCCCTGATTCCTCCTGGAACAAGGAGAGATAAGGACAAGAAATTGCTGCAAGGCCATTTCATGTCCCTATCTCTTGAGCACTTGACCCCTTGACACGATAGTCCGTAAAGACCCCTCACTTAAACAGAGGGACCCTGCCCTAAAACAAAAATTAGATTAAGGGTGGTGGCGCCCTCACCTAATTAAGCCTGTTGTTTGACGTGACATCAAGGTAGCCACCATTGATTTGAAAGGGAGAGAAGCAAAGGACCAAGAAAGCAAACACTGCAGAAAGGAGACTTTACCACTATGTCTAGGAAAGAACATTGGGCATGGTTACAGCACGTGGAACTGTCTGGAAGCAAAGGGATCTGAAGCCTTCTATGGCTTTGAAGCAATTAAATTACCAAAGAAAGCAAGAGCCTCCTCTCAAAACACTGCAAAGTGTAAAACAACCCTTGGGCAGGAAGTGATCAGAGAAAGTTGCGTGGTCTCCAATCCCCGTCATTAACCCTCTGACATCATTTCCTACTTTCCCCCTCACTCCTTCCATTCCAGCCAGCCTCCTTACCATTCCTTTAGCAATAAACATGCTACCACCGTTGCCTTTGCTGATTCCTCTGCCAGGAAAAAACTGTTAGAAAGATATTCACATGGCATAGGACACTGTGGATCCCAGTCCCAGGCCTATTTAGGGGAAATTGAAAGAAACAGTCTAGCTTTCTTCCGGCAAGCTGCCACTCCCACAGGCATCCAGGTCCATTGTTGCCGTAAAACAAAAGCTAGGTGAAATCTAATTGCCCTGCCACCTGTTCATGCAAGAACCTCAAATCCCCACAAAAAACTCCTAATTATTTCAAGGAGTTGCTAGGGATTGTCACATATACTTAGGAACAGGTCCACTGCAGCAGTCTCAGTAAGACTCTACTCTCAGTTGGATACCAGACACTCCTGCCCCTCTTAAGGGCTATGGTGGAGTGTTGGTTTCTCTGCAGGGTTGCAATAGTTCTGCCCCGGTGGCCCCCTGGACCGTAGGGGGCTGCAGAGGTGTGTGGTGGTCTCTGGGTGTTTGGGATGAACAGCTCTCTCCCGCTGTGTTATTTTCTGCTAAAGCAGTCCAGAGCAGTGCCAGATGGAAATATAGGCTAAGGCAGCTATTGGAAGTCTGTAGTAAGAGAAGGGCATTAGTGCTCTCTAGGTACACTTATGAACTGGAACTACATTTTACAGGACACATATTTTTTCTATTTTTTTTTAGAGACAGGGTATTACTCTATTGCTCAGGCTGGAGTGCAGTGTCTATTCAAAGGTGAGATCACAGCTCACTGCAGCCTGAACTCCGTGCCTCAAGCAATTCACCCATTTCAGTCTCCCAGGTAGCTGAGACTACAGGCATGTGCCACCAAGCCAGGTTAGAGAACACTGTTTGTTTTTGAGACAGAGTTTCACTCTGTCACCCAAGATGGAGTGCAGTGGCGCCATCTCAGCTCATTGCAACCTTCCTCTCCCGGGTTCAAGGAATTCTGCCTCAGCCTCCCATGTAGCTGGGACTACAAGTTCACCAGCACACCCGGATAATTTTTGTATTTTCAGTAGAGACAGGGTTTCACTATGTTGGCTAGGCTGGACTCGAACTCCTGGCCTGAGTGATCTTCCCGACTCAGCATCCCCAAGTGCTGGGATCGCACCACTACACTCCAGCAGCGACAAAAGAGCTAGACTCCGTCTCATGGGGGAGGCGGGGGGAATGCGGGACCCAGAGGCTCAGGCCTGTAATACCGGCACTTTGGAAGGCCGAGACGGTCGGATCATTTGAGGTCAGAAGTTTGAGACCAGCCTGGGCAACATTGGTGAAACCCCGTCTCTACCAAAAATACAAAAAAAAAAAAAAAAAAAAAAAAAGTAGCCAGGCATGGTGGTGGGCACCTGTAATCCCAGCTACTCCGGAGGCTGAGGCAGGAGAATTGCTTCAACCTGGCAGTTGGTGGTTTTGGTGAGCCGTGATCGCACCACTAAATTCCAGACTGGGCAGAGAGAAACTCTGTCTCAAAAAAAGGAAAAAAAAAAAGTGAACTAGGCATAAAATTGTTAAGGACAGACAGAATTCCATCACTCACGCCTGTAATCCCAGCAGTTTGCGGGACTGAGGCGAGAGGGTCGCTTGAGCCCAGGAGTCTGCGACCATCCTGGGCAACATGGGAAACCGTCTGCACAAAAAATTTAAAGGGAATCAGCGGGGTGTGGTGGCGCACGCCTGTAGTCCCAGCTATTCGGGAGGCTGAGGCCGGGAGACTGCTGGAGCTCAGGAAGTCAAGGATGCAGTGAGCTAGCATAATGGCGCCACTGCACTCCAGCCTGGACCACACGACTCGTTTGCTCCCTCGCTTGCTCTCTGTCGCTGTCACACATTCACACACACACACGCGCGCGCGCACACACACACACACACACACACGTTGTTACATAACTAAACGTAAGCAAACTCAAAGGCATCATGGAGAGAGAAAGTTAGGGAAGCAGCTCCCACCCCCACATATGGAAAGCCGCTGGGGGGGGAAGGGCTCCACAGCGCAGGCGCAGACCCTAAAGCCGGGTGTTAGTCTCCTCAGGTTGGCGCTGCCGAGGGGCCTGCCTCGAGGCTGGTTCTGTGATGCTGGAAATCCGCTAACTGGATTCTGGTGTCGACTCGGGCAGGGCTTGGCAGGAGCTGAGAGAAGAAACATTCCTAGTGGGAAAACTGAGAGAAGCGGGAAGCATGCGGGAAGGATGGAGAGCGCTCTGCCACCCTTCCACACCTTCAGCCTGGCAGTATCCTTCTGTCGCCCCCTATAGGCGGAGCCTAACAGGGAGCCGCGGGTAAAACCAATAATGTGGCTTGTGGAATCCCATCCCCGGAATCCAAAAGCGGAGTCTGCAAGGGTGGGTTGCAGCTTCATTACCTCATAGTTTAAGAACATACACGAACAGTTTAGTGACTCCAAGTGTATCCATCAACCAGCTTCGACCATCATTACTATTTTGCCCCTCTTTTTTCATTTGTTCCTCTCAATATTTTCCCTCAGGAGTATTTTTGAGCAATCACATAATTTCATGTACAAATACTCAAGTATTTAATAGATGCAGACTGAAGAACACAGTACCACTATCATACCTAATTAAATTAAGACTAATTTCTTAATGTTATCTAATTCCCAGTCTGTGTTCCAATGCTTCTGATTGTCTTAAAAAAGTGTTTTGTTTGTTTGTTTGTTTGTTTGTTTGTTAACAGTTGGTTTGTTTGAATCAGGACCGAATGTCATATATTGTTTTGGTAAATATGTCCCTTAAGTCTCTTTTACTCTACAATCCTGCTATGGGTTGGATGTATCCCCAAAAAAGAATGCGTTAGAAACTTAATCCCCAAAGCAACAGTGTTGAGAGGTGGGGCCTAATGAGAGATAATTAATCCATGACACAGATTAGACCTCTTCACAAATGGTTGAATGCTGTTATCTCAGGAGTGGATTCCTTGTAAAAAGATGGGTTGGCCCCCTTTTTACTCTCTCACCTTTCTGCCTTTCACAGCACAAAGGCCCTCCAGATGCTGGTGTCTTGGACTTTAGACTTCCCAGCTTCCACGACTGTGAGAAATAAATTTCTGTTCATTATCATTGACTTGTCTCAGGTATTCTGCTATGGCAGCACAAAGGGACTAAGACACCTTCGTTCCATACTTCCTTACTTCCTTTCCTCTATTATATCATGACGAAATCATGTCATTTGTCCTACAAAATATCCCATATTTTAAATTCATCTGGTTGTATCCTATTAGTCTCATTAACCTGTTTCCCTGTTCCCTTTGTTTCCTTTAAGCTGGTAGTCACATACGAAGACTCAGTGAGGTTCAGGTTCAAATTTGTAGCAAGTATATTTCATAGGGTGCTGTGTAACTGTGTATTTCCTCACTGGGAGGCATGATAGGGATTTTTTTTTTTTCTTTTCTTTTCTTTTCTTTTCTTTTTTGAGACAGAGTCTCCTTCTGTCACCAGGCGCCAGGCTGGAGTGCAGTGTCGCGATCTCGGCTCACTGCAACCTTGGCCTCCCGGGTTCAAGCAATTCTCCTGCCTCAGCCTCCCGAGTAACTGGGACTACAGGTATGTGCCACCACACCCAGCTAATTTTTGTATTTTTAGTACAGACGGGGTTTCACCATGTTGGCGAGCATGGTCTCGATCTCTTAACCTCGTGATCTGCCCACCTTGGCCTCCCAAAGTGCTGAGATTATAGGTGTGAGCCACTGCGCCCAGTCTTTCTTTTTTCTCCTTTTCTTTTCTTTTTCTTTTCTTTTCTTTTTTTTTTTTTTTTTTTGAGATGGAGTCTTGCTCTGTTGCCCAGGCTAGAGTGCAGCGGTGCGATCTCGGCTCACCGCAACCTCTGCCTCCCAGGTTCAAGCAATTCTCCTACCTCAGCCCTAAGTAGCTGGGATTACAGGCGTGTGCCACCCCACTCAGCTATTTTTTGTATTTTTAGTAGACACGGGGTTTCACCATGTTGGTCAGGCTGGTCTCAAACTCCTGACCTTGTGATCCGCCTGCCTCAGCCTCCCAAAGTGCTGAGATTATAGACGTGAGCCACCGTGCTCGGCTATTTTCTTTCTTTCTTTCTTTTTTTTGAGATAGAGTCTCACTCTGTCACCGAGGCTTGTATGCAGTGGTACGATCTTGGCTCACTGCAACCTCTACCTCCCAGGTTTGAGCGATTATCCTGCCTCAGCTTCCCAAGTATCTGGGATTACAGGTGCACACCACCAAGCCCGGCTAATTTTTGTATTTTTAGTAGCGAAGAGGTTTCACCATGTTGTTAAGGCTGGTCTCGAACTCTTGGCCTCAAGTGATGTCTGCTTCAGCCTCCCAAAGTGCTGGGATTACAGGCGTGAGCCACGGGGCCTGGCCACAATGGGAATTTTTTTATAATTCAAGTGTAATTTGAAAATTGAGGTAAAATTATTAAATTAAGGTTAAACTACCTAAAATATAATGAACAAATATTAAGTGAACAGCTTGGTGAATATTTACATATTCATCTTTACACAACCATGTAACCACCACTTATATGAAGACAAAACATTTTCATGGTAAGATCTCCACTCACCGCAACCTCTGCCTCCTGGGTTCAAGCGATTCTCCTGTCTCAGCCTCCTGAGTAGCTGGGATTACAGGCATCTGCTACCATGCCCAGCTTATTCTGTATTTTTTACTAGAGATGGGGTTTCTCTCTGTTAGTCATGCTGGTCTTGAACTCCTGACCTCAGGTGATCTGCCCGCCTCGGCCTCCCAAAGTGCTGAGATTACAGGTGTGAGCCACCATGCCCAGCCCAAAGGTAATTTTTCAATTGCTTTTTTTTTTTTTTTTTTTTTTTTGAGTCGGAGTCTTGCTCTGTTGCCCAGGCTGGAGTGCAGTGGCACGATCTTGGGTCACTGCAACTTCTGCCTCCTGGGTTCAAGTGATTCTCCTGCCTCAGCCTCTTGAGTAGCTGGGACTACAGGCGTGCACCACCGTGCCCAGATAATTTTTAAAAATTTTTTAGTAGAGACGGGATTTCACCATATTGGCCAGGCTGGTCTCCAACTCCTGACTTCAGGTGATCCGCCCACCTTGGCCTCCCAAAGTGCTGGGGTTACAGGCGTGAGCCATAGCACCTGGCCCTGTCTTTTTTTATGAGCTTGAATTAGTTTATAATGAAGAACTTTCCTATCATTTCTGGATGCTCTTGAATACAGTTTGCCCCCCACCAAAAAAAAAAACAACAAAAAAATAAATATGTGATTCTTTCCTTTTATTTGCCTGTTTTACCATTAGTAAGTTGATGCTCCAGCAGCCTCCAAAAGGTAACCAATAAGGTTTTATTTATGATTATTGATGTCATTATGAATTCACGGAGTTTTAAAATACTTGATGTGTAAATATTATAGTACTTTGCAGTCATTATGCCTTTTGATGCTCAAATTGTCCCATCTTGGGCCAGTGAGGGCCCTTAAAACGTCGGCTCCTTATTTCTGTCATACAACCTTTGGAATCCTTAATTTCTGGAAAGACAGGATATTCCAAGTTCATCTTTTACATTTCCAGCCTTGGAATTGGAACTAGCCACTTCCCTAAGGAGTTCTGCATGTTTGTTTTAAATTATATTTACTCACTATGATATGGATGATGGGTCTTTATTGCTATCATGCTGTCATTTCCTTCAGGTTTTTTCAGTGCACAGAGCTAAGAATTTTTTTTTTCAAAATAAAAATAAATTATGAATAAATACTGCTATTTCTAATCTAAATTAAAGATTAAAGGGTTTTTACTTAATTTCTTTGATTTTGTGTTTGCATCTCTTCTCTCATGTGTAATATCTTGATTGCTAATGATATTAACATAATGACTTATTTGATTTATTCCACTGTATAGATAGAGTAGTTTCAGGATAACAATACCAATGTTATTACTAACAGTTAGATCACCAAATGCCTTTTAAGATTTATTCACAGTTATTTCAGTCCTTAGGATCCAGCCCACTAAGGATGTACAGTAAAAATACTGTGTTCATGAATCACTTGAAATAATTTTTTTTTTTTTTTTTGAGACGGAGTTTTGCTCTTATTACCCAGGCTGGAGTGCAATGGCGCGATCTCGGCTCACTGCAACCTCCGCCTCCTGGATTCAGGCAATTCTTCTGCCTCAGCCTCCTGAATAGCTGGGATTACGGGCATGCGCCACCATGCCCAGCTGATTTTTTGTATTTTTAGTAGAGACAGGGTTTCACCATGTTGACCAGGATGGTCTCGATCTCTTGACCTCGTGATCCACCCGCCTCAGCCTCCCAAAGTGCTAGGATTACAGGCGTGAGCCACCGTGCCCGGCTGAAATCATTTTTATGTGTAGTTTTGCCACCAACTTGATATATAATCAAGTTCAATTTATTTCAGTTTGTCTTCAATTTTTAACAACTGCCTCTTGTTTTCTTTTTGATTATATTCAGTTGTTAAATTATTTACAACTCAGCCGGGCGCGGTGGCTCATGCACTTTGGAAGGCCGAGGCGGGTGAATCACCTGAGGTCACGAGTTTGAGACCAGCCTGGCCAACATGGTGAAACCCCTGTCTCTACTAAAAATACAAAAATTAGCCCAGTGTAGTGGTGAATGCCTGTAATCCCAGCTACTCGGGAGGCTGAGGCAGGAGAATTGCTTGAGCCCCGGAGTCAGCGGCTGCAGTGAGCTGAGATCGTGCTACTGCACTCCAGCCTGGATGACAGAGCGAGACTCTGTCTCAAAAAAAAAAAAAAAAAAAAATTATTTACAGCAATCTTACTGTTCGAACATCTATTAGTGACCTATTTGTTTATAACCAATTATACAAAATTTAGCAGCTTAAAATAACCCGTTTTTATTATCTGACAGTTTCTGTGGATCAGGGATCCAGCGTGGCTTAGCTGGGTGGCCCTGGCTCAGGGTCTCTTCCTGAAATGCAGTCAAGATGTCAGCCAGGACTATGGTAAGGCTTGACTAATGCTGGAGGATCTGCTTCCGCCAGGGCTCACTCACATGGCTTTGTTGGGCCTTGGATCCTCACCACATGGGACTGCTCTACAAGGCAACTGGTTCCCCCACAACAAGTGATCCAAGAGAGAAAAACAGGCTAAAAAGGAATCTATGTTGTCTTTTAGAATCTAATCTTGGAA